TGCCAGTCCACTGTTGTGATTTGAATAAGCATGTTCTGTTTGTATATTATTAATTCAGACATGATACTTATTCCACTTCAGTGGATTGGTATGATCAAACTACTATCATAAAATATATTCAAAATCATGATTATTTATTTTTATATATGACATAAAAATGACATAAAAGATAAGTTAATTGATTTAATATGTACTTTGTCTTCGAATACGCATTGTTGTTTGTTTCATTGAATGATATAATTGATATGTATTCCAATGTAAACCATTTCTTGGAGTATTTTGTAAAGCAAGTGGTGATCGTATATAAGCACCATTAAGATGTGATTGAAAACAATTTGTAAACCACCATGCACCATGATAAGTTAATGCACAATTATCATAAAATAAATTATCATTATCACGATCATATGTAGAAAATGATATTCCATTAGTATTATCCCATAATGACGAAAGTGAATCACCAGCTGTTGATATATTTGAACGAAATTGTGATATTTGAACGAAATTGTGATATTTGTAATTTATAATTTTGATTTTCATTATCTAAACCAAATTTTCCATATTCAGCTATATATATTGGAGAATTCCAAGGTTGTAAATCAATTCGAAGAGTAAAAGAAAGAAAAGATTAAAGATAATATTAAATAAGTTGACGAGATAGTGTGATAACGAATATGATTAATGCATGCACTTGCCTTTTTGTAACCGAATGACATTGATATGAAATGAATCGAGTTTTAGATTTATTTTAACAAATCAATTTCTGTCTGCCAAATAGGAAGCTGTGGATCCTTCAGATCCTAGATCGATCGGGTACGAGTCGAGAAAGCTAGCTAAAACTATCTCATATAGCTGGAGATTTTTGGTGTTACTTTTGGTTTAATGATTTTTGTTCATCAATCAACTCTTCAATTTTCTTTTTTGTTAACACAATGTTCTTTCCAGCTAAGCGAAAACTTTTAATTTATTACGCATCGAGTGATGAGAAAGTGAACAACAAGAAATAACTGTACGTTGACATTTTTTCGGAGAATAGCCAAGAAATATTTAAAACCTTGATTCTTTACTTGTTCATGTACACAAAGGATGGTAGATATTGATGGAACAAAACTTGAGTCTAGGTCTATTGGATTCAGGCACAGTCTAGGTCCACAAGAATGTGGACTCACAGCCTCCTACTGTCAAACTTTAGGATTGAGACACTCAAATAATCACCCACAATAATCATTATTCGAGATCTTAAATAATATTTCCAATATCTTTTGTAATTTTTAGGATGAAAAACGAAGTCAAATCAAGCATCGCATCATTAACAATGGTTTTATACAAAGGACGAGCGCGGTTAACAGCACTTGTCTTTCCAAAGTTTTTTCGAAAAGAAGAATACATCACGGTAACGTTTTGAGTGAAATACATGCCACAATGTAGAGTTGATGGCACTGATTACGAGTATCATCTTAGTTTTTGTCGAAAGCATTTCGATCGGTACGGAAAGCAAATTTTAAATGAGTATTCCAATATTGTTTATTTAATGATGAAGAAATAAATGCCAGGGATCAAATATGAAATCAAACATAGTTAAACTTTAAATAGAAATTAATTGGTTGAACTATAATCGATTTTATAAAAATGTAATGCAGTCAGCAAAGATGAAATGAGATCTGTTTGATTGTTTGTATACATTGCAATAAATAATCATCTGTAACCATGTGAAATTATGCACAAATACTAAAATGAACTGGTGTATCAACTCCAATGTGACACCTTGTTTATCAGAAAATAAATTTTTAATCTTTCGTCTGCTTCTGATTAATGAGAA